CGGGGTGAGGCCAACAAAACGGCTGATGCCACAACTCATTTATAGAACGGATCCTTCTATTTGAATGGGTTAGGGTGAGGCCAAAAACAAACAAACATTTAAAAACAATTTAAAAAACAAAAAGGCATTACCCCTGCAAATGAAATTCGTTCCGTATTACCGTTGGTGAAAATACCAACAGCGGCGGCAGAAAATCATTTTAAAGAACGGATCCATAAAACTAAAACGGATCCAACTCCCCTCTACCGGAGGGGTCGGGGGAGGCCAACAAACAATTATTAAAAACAATGAAAAAATCAATTTTCAAAAAACAAAACAATTATGAAAACAACTAAAATCAAATTCAATTCTCCCAGGCTGTCAGACAGTAACCTGGAAAGCCTTGCCCTGGCTATTGCAACCGCTATGACGGGCAACACCCATTTCCCTGAACCGGAGCCCAGCCTTGCTGCGCTCAATGAGTTCCATCAAAGCTTATTCCGATGCTTTGGCCCTTGCCAAAACACGCGACAAAGTAAAAGTGGCCATTAAAAACAATCTCAGGGAAGCGCTGCTGCTTAACCTTCGCAAGATGGCCAGCTACTGCAGCATGGTGGCAGACCGCGATCGTGCCAAACTGGTAAGCTCCGGCTTCCCGGTAACTGCAGAAAGCGTTGCTGCCAAAACCTTGTCTGCCCCGGAAAATTTTTCCGTGCAGGTAGGTATGAATTCAGGCGAAGCCATCGTATCCATCAACAGGATAGCCAATGCAAAGGCTTTTCTCCTGTATTATAAGCCCGTAGCATCCAACGGCGAATGGATACATGTTACCAATTCACTGCCCAGGTTTACCCTCACCGGTTTGGAGGCCCTTGCATCCTACCAGTTTAAAATGGGTGTTATTGGTACCAGGGGTCAAATCACCTACACAGATACCATCACCAAAGCAGTGTTGTAACTGTTGCTGGCGTCTTCCAAAGCAGCCGGCATGCTGCTTCGCTTCATTCCATCATGCCTCTTCTGACTTCCTGCCAACAGCAGGATATTTTTTTGCCCTTCAGCCATGCTGCTGTCTTCCATGCCGGTGCTGCCTCAGCATAACTGTTCGAAAGAAATTTTCCTGAGCACTTGTTATTGGTCCCAGCGGGACCCCCTGTTTATAGAATGCCAAATAATTAGCGAACCGGCTCCATAGGAGCCCCCTGTGCATTACAGGAGGCTCCTATGGAGCCTTTTGAACCAGCGCTTGTTGTTCTATAAACAGGGGGCTCCTGCCGGAGCCGATCGGGGATATCAAAAATCTCATCAATGAGATTATTTGCGCCGTATGCCAATCATCTTCCGAACAGTGATGCTGCTACCGCACTAAAAAGCATCAGCAGAGAATGCAAGACCGCCGGTATTGAATAAATAAGAATTCACCTGCAGGCATGGACAAAAAAAAGGCCCTCTCCTTTTGAGACAGCCTCTTTTCGTCCGTACAAATTTCTACTTATTCGTCCTTAAAAATGTGAATTGGTGGAGTTGAAGTCACAGTAGTACAAAAGCTGTATCAGGGTACAATGCCGAAATCGGGCTGTTTTCGATTTCGGCTGGCTTTTTTGCGATACTTTTTTTCCATAAAAAAAGTATCAAAACAGCTTTTGCAGGATTTTACAGCCATCCTTAAATAACCCGGTGTTTTTTTAACATATTGCCAATGAATAGAACGCGGTATAAATGCATTCAAACTTTTCGGGGAACGATTGCCTAAGCTACTTCCCTGAAGCGGGCAATTTTTTCGTGCAGGTCTTCGGGCCTGAAAGGTTTGGAGATATAATCATTAAATCCTTTGTTGATCAATTGTGCCTGTATGTTTTCAAATACCGCAGCAGTAAATGCTATCACCGGTATTTTTTTGTTGTCTTTGCGTATATTATCCAGCAGTTCGTAACCATCCATCACCGGCATGTCAAGGTCTACCAGCAGCACATCGTACTGGCCATCGTTAAATTTATCCAGTGCTTCGCGGCCATTAACGGCTTCGGTAATGATGATGCCCCATTTCTCCAGCACCGCTTTGGCAACAAACATGTTAAACACATTGTCTTCTGCTACCAGTATATTCATGCCCTTAAGGCTGCACAATTCTTCTACCTTTTTTTCATTTACATAAGAAACTGCCTGGTGTACTACGCCCAGCTGAATGGCAAAGGAAAACACGCTGCCTTCTCCGTCTACACTTTCTACCTCCAGCCTGCCGCCAAACAATTCTACAATTTTGGCGCTGATGGATAAGCCCAGGCCTGTACCACCAAACTTGCGGGTAGTGGCAGAATCCATCTGTACAAAACGGTCGAAAATCATCTGCTGTTTGTCTTCCGGAATGCCTATGCCGGTATCTTTTACTGCAAAACGAATGGTGCAGGCATTGCTGTTCTGGGCCACCCTGGTAACGGTTACCACCACTTTGCCTTCGGCAGTAAATTTCAGCGCATTGGAAATAAGGTTACTCAATACCTGGATCAGCCTGGTTTGATCGCCTATGTAATTATTCTGCAGTTTATCATCAAAATCAAATTCAAACGCCAGTTGCTTTTCTGCAAACTGCTTTTCAAACAGCTGGTGAAGATTGTCCACCATGCCTTTAAGACTGAACGTGGCTTTCTCCAGCTCCATTTTATTGGCCTCAATCTTACTAAAGTCAAGCACCTCATTCACCAGCGAGAGCATGTGTTCTGAAGAATATTTCAATACATCAAAATACCTTTTCTGTGCCTGCAGCAGGGGTTCCTGGAACAGCAGGTTGGTGGTGCCAATGATGCCGTTCAGCGGCGTACGCAGTTCATGACTCATATTAGACAGGAACTTTGTTTTCACCAGTACCGCCTGTTCGGCTCTTTCTTTTGCCAGCTGCATTTCTGCCCTGGCCTGCTTGATGTCTGAGATATCAAGGATATTTATCTTTTTGAATGAAGCCCCTTCGTGCAGCAGCGGCACCACGCTTACATATCCTGCAAATTCTACATAACCGCCGGCACTGCACGGAATTTCTCCCTGCCAGGAAACATTGCTTTCAAGCAGTTTACCGATTTCTTTTTCCTTTTCCAGCGGGCTGCTGCTGTAATATAAAAATGATTGCAATGGCTTACCTACAATCTCTGCCTTATTTTCCTTCCCGAAGAGATACACACTCTGCAGGTTACAATCGGTTATGATACCTGTCTTCTCATCGGCAATAAAAATAGCATCCAGCGAAGTATTGTAAATGGAATCAAGAAATTTCTGTTTGCTTTCCAGTACGTTCTCCTTAAGAAAAACATCTTTCATCATGTTGTAAGAGAAAAAACCTCCTACTATAAAAGAGATCAACGCATTTACCAGCAAATTGAGTACCTGGTCCTCTCCTTTTATGTCCTGCAGAAAGCTTTCGCGCGGGCAATAAATAAAACTCAGCACGAATGCCAGGAAAGTAAAAATGTATACCAGCAGCAGATCCCTGGGCTGCTCTTTTACACTTACAAAATTGGCTATCACTACAATGATAAAGTAAAAGAAATAGGATCCTGAAGAAGTTCCTTCCACATAGTTCAGCAACAGTACCACGGTAATAATAAAAAGAAAAAAACTGAGCCGGGCCGTCCGCAGCTTACCACGGTTGATAAAGTAACCCAGTCCAAGCATTGACACAGCACCAATACTGGTGATAGCGAGGCTGTACATCAGTCCTGATGCCAGGTTAAAAATACTTGATAACAAAAAGACCAGGAAAATAGTAACCTGCAGCAGTTTAAGCCGGTTAATATAGCGGAAGCCATCTTTATAGACCCCCACAGTAAACCAGCCCTTCAGCCGCTTAAAAAAGCCGCCTGTATTGTTCTCTTTTTGGGTTTCTTTCATGCGCTGTGGTTGGTATTATATTGGTTGACTGGCAAAAGATTTGGTTAATGCTGTATGCGCTTTATTTTAACTGCCTTGTAACAACAATGAACGAACACAATCTGCTGAATAGTGCATGTACAATCTATTTAAATGCAGATTTTCATTAATACTTTCACCAATTAGATACAACTACTTATAAGCCTTTAAGGAGTAACGGAAGACAGTAGCACCCATGCGCCGGCAAGTACGGAAACAGTTTTCATTCACCGGCCACTGGCCATCGCTGGAAATTCGGGAAAAACCGGCGGGATGGCGATGCGCTTTCAGCTATCCCGTATTCTTATTAACAGGAAATGCGGCGCGGGTATACATCGATAAGATAACTTTGAACCCAGCAGCAACTGCAAACATAAAAAGAAAACAATGAAAATTGGATTTATTGGTTTGGGCAGCCTGGGCACACCTATTGCCCTTAATATCAGAGAAGCAGGCCACCATCTGTATGTGTACAACCGCACTACGGCCAAAACCGCTCCCCTGCTGGCAAAGGGGGCAATCGTTTGCGCAGACATAGCAGCGCTGGCAAAGGAGTGTACCGTTGTTTTTTCCATTGTATCAGACGATGCAGCCATTAGCGCGGTCACTGCTGAGCTGGTGGGTCATCTTGCTGCCGGTAGTATCCATATTTCTATGAGTACCATTCTTCCGCAGACAGCAGCTATGATGGCTGCCCTGCACCAGGATGCAGATCAGCATTATATTGCAGCCCCGGTATTCGGCCGACCGGAAGCTGCCATCGCCAAAAAATTAAATTTTGTACTATCCGGTGCAGCAGACCCAAAAACACAGGCGGCGCTTCTGCTGAAAGATGCCGGTGCTGCCGGTATTTTTGATTTTGGTGACAGCGTTACCGCCGCCAATACCGTTAAACTCTGCGGCAATTTCCTGATTGGCGCGGCCATGGAAGCCATTGGGGAAAGCGCGGTACTGGCCAGTAACAGCGGTGTAGACGCAGCAAAAATGTGGGAGATGTTTTCGCAAACACTTTTCAATACACCGCTCTATCACAACTACAGTAGAATAATTTTACAACAGCAGTTTGAGCCAGCTGCGTTTACCGCAAAACTTGGCTTAAAAGACATGAACCTGGTACTGCAGCAGGCAGCCTCAGTGAAGCAGGAACTGCCCCTGGCAATGCTGTTAAAAAACAATATGCAGACACTGGTAGACAGGGGCAAAGAAAACATCGACTGGAGCGCGGTATCGCTGGGTGGCCAGCCGGGTTAGCGGCAGCGCTTCGCTTGCGGGATGGAACGCAGATTTTCAGGATTGTTATGATGGGTTATGATAGTCTTAAAATAACATGCAGCAGGGTCTATCATAGACTACCCGGCTCGGCAGCGCTGCGCTTGCGGGATGGAACGCAGATTTTCAGGATTGTTATGATGGGTTATGATAGTCTTAAAA